AGAACCATTATTCCGATCTATATCGACATCCGGAATCGGTACATATCCTCAGTTTTTTTTTTTTTTATTGAAAGTCCGACCAAACATTTTGTTCTGACTTCACACAGAGGATTTGTTTCCATTTTGAGGAGGCCAGATTTTTCCTTCACTCTAGGTTGCTCCCATTCTATCTTTCGTAAAAAAGCAGACGATCAAAAAAAATTCTATCTGCAAAGACAATTGCCCAGCTGCCGCTAAAAAAGGCCCAGCCTTCTCAAAATCTTCTCGCATCGAGGACAGCATTCCTAAAGAAAAGAGAATTCCTTCTGCCTAATTGCCCTCACTTGATTTTTTACTGCATCGTAATTTCACGCAAATATTCCAGCTGCGTGACGATGGTACCAGCGCTACGTCGGGTGACTTTCACGAAGTTCAGATTGCTGCTGCAGGTATGCTTTACCCGATTGTCGTCATAAAGTAATTAACACGCCGTTAAAACAATGAACCCTGTATAACCGATTTAGTGGTATTATAATATATATCGGTTTTAGAAAGCTTCTCGGAAATGCGCCACTTAGCACCGAACAATTTTCAGCAAACGTTCGTGTGCCTTTACAAAACGAGTCCTCTCAAAAACACCTGAAAACTCTAATACTCCACTATCATCGCTTTGTTCGCAGATTGCTTTGTTTCTATGGTCTCCTAAATTCTTCAAAAAATAGAACAAATGTGGGTGAGATGTCATCTTTGCTGGCAAAAACACTAACGATAGAAAAGTATCAACAAGTGCTTCAACGAACTGCCTGAAAAAAGAAATCGAAAATGAAGCGCTAAATTATAAGAAACATGCAAACAGTCGATTTGAGAATTCAACATCTGCGATTTTGCTTTTCTTGTACTAAATGAACGCCGATACTTCATCTTAACAGCTCTTGTTTTATCGTCGTGTCTTTCCTCGCCATTAACGGAGCTTGCTCGAGTCAAACGCATGAGAGATGGATACCCATGCACTTAATACTGTTGTGTATTCAGAATAAAACAGTTTGCAGATGTTAATCAGCAAGAGGCATGCAATACAGGTGAAATGATTCCCAAAAATAACGACTGCAGTAGCTACTATGAATGCGTCAATGGACAATATGAGCTGCGATTGTGTCCAAGCGGATATTTCTTCGATCCAGCGGTAAGTCTATCATAGATTTCCTCCTTAGATTAAACAGAAATAACTTAGAAATGTGTCACAAACAATCAAACTCT